ATAATGAGCCCCAGTTTGCTCAGGGAACTCAATTTTTCGAAATGCAATACTCTGGAGGTTATAGGTGGCTTACAAAGGGCAAGCATTAAATTTGGGAGAAAAACAGGTTTTGCAGAGTTGAACCTAAATGTGCATCCCCATTGCAAACAGGAGGAGGGGCTGTTGTTTGCAGTTTAGAGTTCCCAGGGCTCTTTGCCATGGCCAAGGGAAATGTTTACTACAGCTGTAATATGCTACGTGCTGTTGATTTTAATTGCTTTTCAAAATGTGAAGACAACTGTGATATTTGGCAGAGACTGGCAAGCTGCACTAATAAGCTCTGTTGTGCTGCAAGTCTAGTTCACACTGTGCTCTGTAAGCTTCTCTGCAAAATTTTGTCAGTATGCTGGGGAGTGGGGAAGGAAAGGAAGGATTTTAGACATGCCCTGTCCAGCCAAAGAAGTGAGCTTGAATCACTGATTCTCTTGGATCKATAACCAGAGAAACCTATGCCCTTTTTAAGGAGATCCTACAGAAAGCAGCCAGCTACAGAGCTATGGGGATACTACATTGTCTTATTGTAAAAGCAACATCGARCATCAGATTTGGCACAAGTTATTTGGTCCAACGAGAACTGTCTTGGGAATTAGTAACAGTACTTGGGTTTCAAATGGGTAGCCAGCAAGGCACCTTGGTTGATGGCTCAGAGGKTTCCTCAAATATTTGGGAACATTCCATTTTCAGGCTAATGTCCATCTGGAGGCTGCTCCCAAAAGGTTTCAGCTGGTCTCAGCTGGTGATGCATGAAGAAAATTCTTTGCTTTGTTCTGCYAGGCAATTGGTATTCTGTGACATTTGACTCACCTAGAAGTGGGTTGGAGGTGCAGTGTGAGTGCTGGTTATAGCTAGGTGCTCTTGTGCAATGGGAAATGTTTCCATTTCATCCAGCCCCTTAGAACTCAAGTGTGTAGGCTTCTTCCTGGGGCTTGTGTGGGGTCTCAGTCCCAAACCCGGAGTATGTTTTTGACTACCAAGAGATGAGCCAAATGAGAATGACATGTCAGAGGGTTAAGAAGCTTTGCCTCAGCAAAGCTGTATWGTAGAGACCCCACAGCCAGCTTTTCTTTTGCAGCTGTGAGCTGGAAAAAAAAACCCCAGAAAATTAAGGAAAAAACATCAGCAAGGCAACTAGTATAAACTGGCAGATTCAAACATAGCAATGGAGCAAAGCTACTGCTCTCATCCTGTCACACCCAGATAACCAGATACTTTACAATAAAACGGGTTGTAAATGTGATTTTCAGTCATGGATGCGAGTTTCTAATCCACCAGAAGAGCTAGGTGTGAATTCTCTGTGTGCACATCTCTTGGTTCAAACTGCAGCACTAGAAGCCCTTCTAAACATGTCTGTTTAGAAGTAAAGATGGGTGACAAATATGAACTGATTTCCAGAAACATTTGAGTTCCTGGTAATTTCAAAGCAAGCTGTGGATGTTCAATATCTCTGGGGAAAAATAAAATTAAGAAATCCCAGTCTGTTTTCATGTGCCAAATATTACTTCTTGGAAGACTGACCTCACACATGCTGGCTCACCTCCTATTTGACCTCACTGAGACCTGTTTTCCTCCTCTGGATTATACACAAAATAATGATGTTTCTCCCTATAATTTGTCTGGATAATGTTATGCAAATAGTAGATATGATTAGTTGCTGACCACATATTAGGAATAGACAAATCAGCAATTTAACCTTTTCTAAATATTTTGGCTTTGGAAATGCTAAATTGACAAGTGAAAACCCAAACACTTGCACTTACATACCTCGTTAAAATTGAAGCCAAAGCCATGCCTTACTGATATGAACAACGTCTGCAAACAAACAGGCCCTTCAGATTTCCTTGCATAAATAACTAGAAGCAGGTCTGAGCAAACGGAGGCAAGTCTGTACTTTCACCRCTCAGTCCCTGGAGCCAGGGCAACACGGGACTGTGCAAGTTCTACCTGTCAGAGCCCCGCCTGCACCTCCCTGCCCCGGGGTTTCTGTGTCTGTGCTCCAGGTCTGCACTGATAATGTTCATTGTAATCTGGATTCAGATTAGGAAACTGGAGCCCTCCCTGCTTTTGCTGAGGAGTGGTGCTGAGGCCAAGACCCTCACCCAGGCTGTGCTGGGGATGTGGACATGCCTGGTCTTTACCTCCCTGCCCCGCTGCCCTCGTGGCCTGACCTCGGATGTGCCACTACGTGCTCAGTTGGCAGC